TTTAATAAGGCATTAAATACATTCGATCTATGTCTGACAAAGACCAAAACATTCGCAGAGGAGAATATTTCTCCAGTGGAAAAGAGGTATTTGAAGAATTAGAGGTAACGATGACTTGTGGCTTCTGCTTAGGTACATGTAGTCCTTTGGGACAATGTCATTATATTATGATATAGAAAATACACATGGGGCCAGGTGGGATGTGGTCATTTGTACAGGTGGTTGTCTTGGACAAGTGGCTGTTACAACAGCCTTGACTGTACACTTATATGATCGCTTTTAAGCAGAAGGGGGCTATCCCAAAAAATGCTGTTTGGAGAAAATGGAAGGTAAAGTTTTTGCCCCTTGTTCAGTTTCTTTAAAAGACAAAACCAAATAAATATGCACGCCGATGAATCCAACTTCTCCTATAGGTAGGCAACGCCCATTTTGGTGTGGGCCAAGATCTCTGGAAACCCCCGAAATCTAGGTTAGCCCGCTTGTCCTTAAAAGCGACCATATACAGTAAAAAGAAAAAAGAAAAATTTTAATTACAGCCATTGGGTTGAGAGGTGAGGGCACACAAACTGGACTGAGAGAAGATGAATATCCATGAAATAAAACAATAAAAACCAGGGATGCCACAAAGTTCCTTCCTAGGCAAAGCTGTGACTTTAAATTCATTTCTTTTCTTTGTTTTAATAAGAATTTTACGGCACTTGCAACACAATAAGGTCATGTAAGTGCTGAATGTTAGAGATGTTACAAGAGATTAATAAACAATGAAAAATCGGGGGAGAGAAAAGGACAATAGATGTTTGATAGGAAAGAAGGAGCAAACTACACCAGAGCACCCACCAACTACTCACTTCCTTTTCTTTACAAAGTAACTCACTTTCACTTTTCGCTTAAACAAGGGGCAAAACCCAGGCCACTGACATACATGATCTTTTTTATTTCCCTTATCCACTTGCTATTGCCAACAGTGAAAATAAAATGATTGTTTTGATGAGAAAAAAAAAACGAAAAAAACCAATGCTGTTTCAGGAGCTTTGGGGCCAAATTCACGAACCAGAATAGCCGCTTTTACCCCAGTTTTACTCATTTTTGAGACATTTACGTTTTTTCACATATCTCCCTATAATTATTAAAGAGCAGGGGACAAAGCCACATAGACAAACCGCTACCTCAGAATTACAAAGTCCTTTCTGACAATTTTAGCTGTTTTGAATTATTAAGATCACGAGGACAGAATCTTAATATTCTATCTGCTCTATCAGAATCTTACGATTATTCGGAGTCCTTATCAAGACATTCAAAGAATTGCATTCGACAAAGCTTGAAATGATGTGAAACTCAAAATATTTGACGTCACATTTCTCAAAACTAGATACTGAGCAGACAGAATTATTTGTAATTCTGAGGAAGCGAAATATTCAGAGAGAACTTTTCTGGGCCTACCTTGGGGTCCAGCAGCTTGTTGTCAGAGTCCTCGTCGTCCATCTCAAAGTAGAGCTCGTTCTTGGTGATGGACATGGTGCCGTTGACTGCCGCTCCGGGGGCGATCAACTTGCACGGGGTCGACAGTGCCACGATACCTAAGGGGAACAACAACGACAAAAACATTAATTTTTTTAGTAGAGGTTTTACGGCGCTCGCAACTGCATAAGGTCATATGACCGCCAGAAGATTTGAGGTGTTACAAGAGATTAACAAACATAAAAAAGAAGAAGGGGAGATAAGGACGATAGCTGTTTGATAGGGAGGAAGAAGCAAACCACACCAGAGCACCCGCCAACCACCTACTTCAGACTTCAAGAGTTTTTTTATTAATGTAAACTTGACAAACAAAACAAAGTTTCATCTTTCCTTGTCACAAGCATTACATTTTTCTGCTGATCAAACCTTTGATGACTGCTCTGCCAATATACTGTCTGATCTGCTCGTTTTGTTTTAGAAAGAGTTTAACAGCATTTGCAACACAATAAGGTCATATAAGTGCCAAAGATTAGAGAGATGTTACAAGAGACTAACTTACACAAAAAAGAAGGAAGAGAGATAGCTGCCAATATAAGATAACTCGAAAAAAAATTGCCCAACATCTTTGATTTCATACTTTTGACGACCACCAAGCATTACATATGTATCAATATTCTTGAGTCACAAGCCAACATGTTCCAATATTCTAACTCCCTCGTCATGACACAACACTCCTTTCATCGTCCAGACACTAACCTGTGAACTCTTGATTTAAAAAACACTCAAGCCTTGCCTACATGTTTCAATGGTTTAGTTCCAGTGTCATCAAATTCCCTTCCCCTTCCAGGCACTGAACTGTGAACTCTTCAGTTAAAAGACACAACATCAGCCTACATGTTTCAATATTCTAGCTCGAACGTCATGACACGACAACCCCCATCAAAGTCCAGACACTGACCTGTGAACTCCTGAATAAAAAAACACCCTAGCCTAGCCTAAATGTTTCAATAGTTTAGTTCCAATGTCATCAAATTCCCTTCCCCTTCCAGACACTGAACTGTGAACTCTCGAGTTAAAAGACACAACACAATCCTACATGTTTCAATATTCTAACTTCACCCT